CTCTCTCTCTATTTCTCTGTCTCTCTCCCTCTCTCTCTCTTTCCCTCCCTCTCTCTCTCTCTCTCTGTCTCTCTTTCTCTCGCCATCTCCACCAACCTGAAAAGTCCTGCCATGCTGGGTTTGCGTAGACCGTCAGAATGCCCACACATGTACGCGATCTGTAGTTGGGATTCGCGCGGTGGCGATTACATTGGGTTCAGTCGCCGCGAACGAGCAGTGTGGTGTGGTCTAACAGGGATTTCTCTCCGTGAGTCCGATGTGTGATCGGGGTGACGTTCGGGGCCATTTGATTGTGACGTTTGATTGGGCCGTGTGATGAAGGCGGAGATGCCGCGCTCTCTCTCTCTCGCTATCTATTTATCTCTCTTTCTGTCTTTTATCTCGTTCGTTTTACTGCGCTTGTCTGTGTCGCTCGCACAAAGTTTGCGAACGTAAATGACAAGCGCAGACAAACGAGCGAGACAGAACCAACAGCGTCGTGTTCCACCACCGTCATCGTCCCCGTCGTTAGTTTTCTATCAGTGCCTCTATGTCGTTCGTCTTTTGCGAATCTAGTTTCATTGGCGACCACTCGCCCCGATCTGATGGCACACTCACACGTCCACGTGGCAGGTCCTGAACAAGCGTGGGCACGCTGATGGATGCGGGGCTCTATGCAGCAACAGAATGTTGTCGAATAGAACCCCGCACCCATCAGCGTGGCCACACATGATCAGGACTTGACACGTGGACATGTGTGCCGTCGTGTTCAACTACCATCTTCGTCCCCGTCGTTAGTTTCTCTTCAGCGCCTCTATTTCGTTTGTCTTATGCGTTGGCCTGTTTCCTCCCGAACTTACCTCGGGGTGTGTTTGCGGATCTCGTTCCATTGGCGACCACTCGCCCCGATCAGATGGCACACTCAAACGTCCACGTGTCAGTTCTTGAACAAGCATGTGCACGCTGATGGATGCGAGGCTCTATGCGGCAGTAGAATGTTGTCCAACAGAGCCCCGCACCCATCAGCGCGGCCACGCATGTTCAGGACTTGACATGTAGACGTGTGAGTATGCCATCTGATCGGGGCGAGATGAAGGAGTTTCGGGAGCAAGAATGCATGTGTTTCATAGGCGATCACTCGCCCCGATCAGATGGCACACTTAGACGTCCACGTGTCACGTCCTGAACAAGCGTGGCCACGCTGATGGATGCGGGGCTCTATGCGACAATGGAATGTTGTCGAATTGAGCCCCGCATCCATCAGCGTGGCCACGCATGTTCAGGAGCTGACACGTGGACGTGCGAGTGTGCCATCTGATCGGGGCGAGTGGTCACCAACGAAACGGGACCCGCGAATGTAGCCCGAGAATGTTGTGACACGCCCTTCGAGATTGTGTCGTCACTTCAGATGTTTTCTTGAAGTGTTACTCGCTTGTCGTCAATTTGTTGTCTCTCTCGCGAACTGCGATATAAGGATTTTGGTCGTATGTTGTCGAACACGAGAACATGGTTTTTCACGAATATTGTGTCTTCTGGATTGCACATGGACTTTCTTCTCGCTTTAATTTTTATTGCGTTCGGTTTATTTATTCGTTTTCCCACGTAAGTCGCGTCGTGTAGTTCGCTCGGCGTTCGGTTCTGTATCCGTAAATTGTCCTCCACATTCGTCGAATTTTTCACATTTTTCGTCACTCTTCCTCTCACCGACACGAACAATTTTTTCTTATATTTCTTTTGCGCAGTTTTATTAGTGGGTCACATTGCGAATTCCGAAATGGATAACACCATCCGCAGGATCTGCACATGGAGAGACAGAGAGATAAAGACAGGCTCTCTCGCTGCCCATGCTCTATCGATCTTAGTTTCCCTTCCGTGTCTATGCGTGTTTTCTGCCTTTCTCCAATCTTTGTGTATTGCAGACAGTCGCTCAACCGATCTTAGGCTGGTTCCCCCTGAATGCAATCACAGATCAGTAATCCAAAGACTGCTACGACAGATCCGAAGACACAGAACGAGAACGTGAATTCAAATCTTTAAACTCTATCAAACCTCGCATCAGCCGAACGCCGCGAGGAACCCTTCCGCTGACGTGGACACAGGACAGGCACGGAGCGATCAGATGCTCATAGGGTGTTGTCGACGGCGACATGTCTGACCAACCAGGAGGACGACAGCCCACCCTGTCCATACCATCTTGTGGTGGCGCAACAACTAACGTATCCGAGCCACCCTTGTTAATTTCGGTTGCATCCGAGCCACAACCCACTAAAACTCACGGGGCGACCACTAACCAAGGCACCTCGGCGAAGTTCGGATTAATCTGAACCATACCGACGACAAATTTGGATTTGTCACATGCTCAGACGATATTTACGACGTCGCACGTTCTCATAAACGTGAACGACGAAACCACACGCTGTCAACAGACCGTGCTGTCCATCCGCCGGTCCCCGTCTCGGATTAATCTGAACCACACCTCCGACAGGATAGGGTCCACCCTATGCTCACAGGTCATTGGGGAAAACACACCATGTCGATGGCCTCCTCTTGTGGTCGGCCGTTTCTGTCTCGCATTGTGCTAATTCGGATGCATCCGAGTCACAACGTCGGTCTTTCGACTCTGCCCAGTTCGGATGTGTCCGAACTCCCCCGCTGTCTTCGTCTTCGACCATTCGCTCTACGAAGGGCAGTCTGATGACGAGGGTTAACGATGCCTCGGACTCATGCAACTAAAACGAGTCGAGACGGTGACGCTCGGGTGGACAATGACATCCCCCGTGATGACGCACAGATTATACCGAGACACTACGGCAATCGCGGGGAGGTCCGGTGTGTGGTGGGGCGACAACAAACCGAACCGCCTCGGCGAAGTCGGATTAATCCGAACCACACCGATGGCTTGTTCGGATTTATTACATGCGCAGAGGGTATTGACGACGTCGCACGGTCTGATAAACTTGTACGACGAAAGCACACGGTGTCGGCGCAGCCTGTCGTGGTCGCACGTATCGAGACAGCCCCCGTCGAAATCGGATAAATCTGAGCCACACCCGTCTTAAACACTCGAGGACGAAGACACACCGTGCGAAATTCGGGTGGACCCAAGGAAAGTTGGGGAATAACAGAAGCTTGAACGACTGGATGGGCGTCAACAGACCGTGGGGTCCATCCGCCGGTCCCCGTCTCGGATTAATCCGAGCCACATTTGCGAAGTTCACGTTCAACCGAACCAAATCTCCGGCACGATAGGGTTAACCCAGTGCTCACAGGTCGATGACGAAAACCTGTGATGTAGATGGCGACCTCTTGTGGACGACCGTCTCTGGACTGCGCTGTTCGAATTCGGATGCATCCGAGTCACAACCGTAACCGACTCAGAAGGACAAGAAAACTCGAGTTCGGTTTGGTCCGGGCCGCAAGGGGGTGGTCCACACCACTTTGGAGCTCGGATGCATCCGAACTACACCGACGAACTTTACAACCCGCTTGTCGACTTCGGATGACACCGCTTGGTGCACGTCTTCGTCTGCTTTGTCAGCGTTCTAGTGCCTTCTTGCGAGATATTGCTTTTCCCGGTGCAGATGCCTATGCGACGTCGGTTTTTCGACTGCGCCTGCTTCAGATGTATCCGGTCTATCCCGCGATCTTCGTTTTCGACCATTCGTTCTCTTAAGGGCATTGTGACGAGCATGGCTCACGATGCCTCGGATTCATCCGAAACGTGCAGGCGTGGGGACCACTGTCGTCTAACTTTGACTGAACTTCGTTGTTTTGGGGTCGGGGTGACTCATAACAGAATGCGTGTTGTAGGTCGTGGTTGATGTTGGGACGTGCTGACTGTTCTGAGTGCATGTGGGTTCATTTCCTCCGTGTGTTTCAGGGAATGGCTACACACGGACGAAGCCGCTCCGCTGGTGGTTCCGCCCTACACGGAGAGGAGCGTCGAGGGACGATGTCGTCACCGGCAAGGGAAACGAGTCGGGGAGGTGGCATTGGGGAGGAAGAACGACGGGCTCAAAACTTGTGGTGTGACTACAGCAAACGTGTCTGGTATTTGGACTGGGCAAGCCAGGACGGCTCCGACCCGTTGCAACCACTGTGCGGGCCGCTCTTGTTCGTCGCCGTTCGCGCCGACCGAACGCGTCTTGCAGGGTCCATCGTCCAGTGGGTCGATGTTGGCGAATACAATTTCAAGTTTACATTGAAGAAGCATTACAGAAGTTATGGTTCCGTCGACGACATCGCAAAGGGATGCAAGGTTGTCGGGAGGATGTTCGGCAGGTACGGCCGGCGTGCGATGTCTTTGTCGTACTTTGTCCCGCTAGAACGGGGCACGATGAGGCCGTTCACGTGACAGACTTCCTAAGTTCATGGCGTTGGCTATGAAGAAGACACCGTACATGCCTTTGTGGAACCTGTCAACGGAAGAAAAGAAAAGAAAGGAATGAGCTGAGAAGCTTCGATACTACCTCCCGCTGGCCATGGCAGATGACTCCGTCTTCGCTTTGGGAGAAAAGTTCTATGAGGAGTGGTCGAAAGGGAAACTCCTTGCTTCCAACGGCCGGCGTTGGACTGAAAAGCCGCCCACCCATGAGGAGGTGGCCAAGCAAGGACTCTCCACTGTGACTGATAGCCAGGGGCCGAAGAAACACGTCTGGTACGTGAAGCTGGACGACCCGTCGTTGAAAAAGGGCAAGGGGAAGCCAAAGAAAGGCGCGAAGGAGAAAACTTTCTACGTCCAAGTTCCTGAGCCGGATGTCCACTGCTGGAAGGAATTGGTGGACTTGACGGACCGCGAGAAGAAAAGACTGTTGAACGGCATCTTGAACCTTAATGTCGTGTGGGTTCAAACGAGTAGCAAGAAGTTGGCCGAACAAGGGAAGTTTACTGTCAAGGAGATGGTCGACATAATAAAAATGGACCGGATTATGTTGAGGCTATGGCACTACGTGGAGTTCGAGTACGAGAAAATGGATAAGCGGGAGTGGAATGCCAACTCCACGTTCTTCAGGTCCAAGAAGCAACTGTTTGAAGAGTTCAAGGACAAAGGTCTCGACGACAAGCTTTGGAACGAGAGCAGGAAATTTTTCACGGACTCCACGTACGTCAACAAGTGCCCTCAGTTTCTCGGGTGTCAACACGACAACAACATCAAGAGAACGGCCGCCCTCGTCAACGACCAGCATTTCCCGGCAGAGTGGAAGCGTCTCGTCCTTTCAGGGATCACTAGAGATCGCGCCAAAGGCAAAAAAAGCCCTCGAGGCATTGATGAATGCATTAACATTATGTGGACTAGGACAAGCGCCTTGACGACGCTGGCTCAGTTTAACGTCGACCCATTGAGTGCCATAGATCATAAGGAGGCGCTGGGGAAACTAGGGCATCAGCTACGCTCCCACACTTGCGTGCTCGACTTGTGCGGAACTGTGGACCTTGCGCAATGGGACTCTGGGGCATTCACGTCTCTGAGTGAGTTGTTGGGCTTCGTTTGTCAGGACTACTGGACATTGGTGGTATTCGTTCCCTGCCTGTGGAACCTCTCCTTCATGACATCTTTGTCTGTGCTTGGGGCTACCCGATGCTACACGGGGAAGTGGGTTCGGAAGACGGCAGCGAAGAAGACGCATCAGTTCGAAAACAGCATCTGGGAGGAGCCGGATGTGATGCACATCCTTTTCAAAGGCGAGGATCCTCGGCTACTGACTCACCCGGTGTACGAGGGAGCTGTTGCTAAAGACAACGACGCCGCTCTCCGGAGGAAACAGAAAGTGACACCCACGGATGTGGAGGAGAAGTCTTTCAAGTCCTTGACCTTCGCGGACATCGGAAACCTCACCCAGAGGGGGGCTCTGTACAAGGACGGCGAGCGGAATCCGAATCAGTTATGCAATCAGCTTCTTTTCTTCTGTGGTGTGGCGGATACCGTGCTGTTCTTGGGCAAGCCGCACGCGCAGGTGGTGTGGAGTCTGCTTCAGCAGGGAAGGCATGTCTTGGCCATGGATGGGGAAACACCGCAGCTCGAATACACCGTGCAGTATATCACCCATGAAGTGTCGTCCAAGGCTTACCCATGCGATTTCCACCATGTCGTGGTCAAGCCCGTTTATGACCGGAACAAGGACATGTTCTTCAAGTTGACTCCGAAGAAAAGGCGCCAGGTCTACTCCTTCCTTTACGGCAAACAACCAAGGTTGAGATTTGACCCGCAGTACGTGGTGCGGTAGGAAGTCGCCATTGCGGTCCTCCAGGGCTACCACGGAGCGAGTCGGGCCGGCGCTGTGAGCTTCATTAAGAGGCTGGAATATATATTTTTTAACGAGGATGTTGTCGATCCGGCCGACTTCACTTTGGATAACTTTAAGCTCGCATTCGGTGAGGAGGACGATTTCAATATCGAGACTGAGCAGGAGGAGAGCGTTGAGGACGACCTCTTCGATTTGGATGGGCAATTGGCCATCTTCAATGCCCAAGTTTCTGAGTCGCTGTCAGTGTGCAAACCGGGGACACCTCTCGCCACACCCACCTCGGGCGGCCCCACGCCCGTGTCCTTCTCAGCGCCTGTCAAGAGGGGTGGGTTGTCCCGTTGAGCCTATTCGTCTCACACCGCAGCCCGAACGTCTTCGACCCGGCCATCAAGTTCCTCCGGACCATCCGCATCTCAAGGCTCCTGCGACTCCCTTCCACATGGGCAACAAACACACATTCTCCACAGCCGAAGATTGGGGCCATGATATCGTGTGGCACCCGGACCATTTCCATCCAGTCCTTCTCGACGGCTAATGGGCAGTGGCTGTGAGGGACGTAAGTGGAGGGTGGATATATGACGATCGTTGGGACCTCGAGACATTCAAATATCGCGCCAACGATGCGGTATTGGAGAGATTAAGTGAGGTCAATTGACGAAGTAAGGACGACCCGGCTCTGCGCGCATACGGGGAAACGCTGTTCGATTTCTTGCAGTCAAATAAATGGCTGGAAGTATCGTCCGCATTCTACGCCCTTCCGTCAAGCCCGTCAATTAACCAAGTGAGTTGGGAGTTGCCTGCGGGCACCCCGCCGGCAGGAGTTGTGAAGCGCAAGTCTCGCGGAAAGGACGGTGAAGGGGATGGTGAAGGCGGCGGGCAACGAGGTACCGGAGGTGGAAGTGAACTGCGTTCAACGAAACAGCGGTCTCCGGGGCACGCAGGCGGCGGAGAGGGAAAAAAGGGCAGCCGGGAGAAGAAAAAGCCTCGAAGCGGAGACGGGCAGGGGTCCGATGTCGACCGCGACGAGGACGGTGGGGTTCTGGCGGTGACAGGCAGCACCTCAATGGAGACGGGGAATGACTTCAGACCTGGGTGGATTACACGGCCTGGCGAGCAGGACCTTGTGATTAGCTCCACCAGCGCAACACACTATACCGATGTTGTTGGCGGGGCAGTTGTAGCAAAGAATGGAATTTGCTTCGCTTAGCTCCAAAAACGGTTGGCCGATTGTCTCGGATCTATCCGAACCTCGGAGACGACATCGTCGTCTGGAACTCAGTGCCTTCCGGGAAGCGAGACGACAACATACCACGGATCCGGCAGCGACAAGCTCCAACCATGTTCGGTTTCGCCTCAAAAGGAAGCTCAGATTAATCCGAACTGGGAAGCCAGTACCCTTGAGAGAACAGCGGTCTGCGGAACTCGAACGGGTGGTCCAGGTTTCCAAAAACCTTGATGGCGAAATTCGGATTCATCCGAACCAGGACGACGTGTCCGCCATGATAGACGACCGGTGTCAGGACGTCGTAATGCTGTGCATGGAAGTCCACAAGGAGCTGCAGGCAGACTGTCCGACTGAGGGTGAGTTAGCGACAAGTTTCAATGTCGAGCCCCGCACACTCGGAGCCGAATGCCTAGTGACGGTACGCGCTAAGTTAGCAGTCTTAAGCGACTCTCCGGTGAAAGCGGACACGTCGTCGCCGTTGGAAACTGCGGGGGCTCGGATGAATCCGAACCAGGGCCCTGTGAGCATGTCCCTCCCTGATGCAGGTTTGGAGACGACCATAATTCGGATTCATCCGAGGCACACGGACGAAGGGCTTGATGGTTGTCGACTTCTGACGACTTTGGACAAGGACGATTCCGCCGACGACCGGATTGATCCGACACTCGGCGACGTCGGGATGGAGCAACCAGTTCAGCCAGCATACGACGACCCCTTGTACTCCGGCCTTCAAGACGAGGCGATGGTAGAGGAGGTTCTGAAGAAGTCCTCTGACGCTGTTGGAGATAGATTTCTCTATTTGAGTGATGACGATAAAGACACAGCGCAAGACGACAAGTATTTAAGGGGGGAAGAGGTGTTGTTGGACATCCATGGGACCTTGAGCACAACACAATGCGACACAGTGGCGACGGAGGAAACCCAACCTGTCGATGTTGTGGATGTCGACGCTCTTTGTCCGGAGATGGACATACTAAAATTGCCCATCGCGGACGTGGAGGATTTCCGCCATCGGGATGGGGATGAATTCATGCCGTCTCCGGTCATCAACGCCGACATCTCGAACCTGTCAAGTTTCCCTGTGAGTTTGGAGCACGTCGTCGCCGCGTCGACGCGCACGGGGGCGCCAATCATGTTGGGACTGCCATCGGTGGGCTCTACTGACGTTGAAGCTAAGCCTGGTAAGCATTGTCTTCCTCTGCTTGCTTCCCGCTCGTCATCCCGTTCGTGAAGTGTTGTTTGCTTCGTCGATTTCGGGGAGGTGTGTACGCGGCCGCCAACTGGATTGTGACGATGTGCTTTGTGAGGTGCTGTTTGCTTGGTTGCTCTTGCGAAGTTGCGTTGTTGATCTCCTGCTGAACTGTCTGGGTGGCTATTTCTTGTACAGGTCGACGAGCTCGTGGACAAACACACATGTCGCAGGAACCGCCTGCCCTCGCGAGGTTGTCAGTCCTAGTTGCGGGAGGCATTAGTCGTCGCAATGTCACTGATTCGTTTCCTGGGGAGACTAAACCTCGGTGCCCTCCCAGAAGGGTTGTCGTGCGCCCGTATTGGGCCCTCGCGCTAGACTCGTTGCAGAGGCAGAGAGTGTTGCCGAAAAAGACTGCAAGGATTTCCTTCTCGAGGCTTGCAGGGATATAAAGAAGGACAGTGCTAGTTTGGAATCAACTGTGTGTGGAAGGTCCAGAAGTAGGGGTGACGTTATGCGTGAACTTTTCGGGCCACAGAGTAGCGGTTCGTCGGACCATGGCCGCTAGGACGGCATTTTCTCATAGTGTCGCATCCTTTATGCTTGCTGTGTGCTGTGGGTGTTTGTTCAACAGGGTTTCCTCGAGATGGAAGAGAAGTCCTTGAAGACGTTATCTGCTCCCGGTTGCCGCTCACTATCATCGTCTCGCGTTTGCCGTCGCACAATTTACAGGTTTCCGTCAAGGACATCGTCGCACTCGTGGATGGATCCGGGGAGCTCAACGATGAGGTCGTCAATTTCTACATGGCGATGCTACTGGACGACTGCGGACGGACTGCTGCTACCAAGAAGACGTACACCTTTAACTCTTTCTTCGCCTCTACACTGCTTCTGCAAGGTCCGGCATCTGTTTGCAGATGGGCTAAAGATGTGGACCTCCTGTCTCATGACCTCGTCTTGGCACCAGTGCACAAGGACGGCGAACATTGAAGCCTTTTGGCCATTGACTTCTCTAGACATGTTTTGGAAATCTATGATTCTTTCTCGTGTTCGTCATCTTAAGATGACTTCTACTTAGCACTTTTAGATAAAATCTGTTAAATTTTTAAACACGGTGGCAGGTGCCGCCGGTGATAGTCGCACTTTCGACCACTTCGCTCGCGAGGTCATCTTGAAAAATGTCCCTCGGCAGCACGACGGGGCTAGTTGTGGGATGTTCATGTTGATGTTCGCTTCCTGTTTGGCGAGAGGTTTACATCCACCTTTTGGTTTCTCCCATAGACACATCTCCTCTATCAGAGCTAGACTAGCTTTAGCGATTTGCGATGTTGGTAGGTAAGCGTCTATCTTTTTGCTGATCATGTAGTGTAGAAGGGTTAACTTAGAAGAACATTTCGTTCTTCTCCGGACGAAATTTGTTCCTTTTCACTTTTTCCGTGAGAGACTGGTGGGTGTTCTCGGTTTGGTTCGGAGCAGACCTGGTTGTCACTGCCAGGATATCTCCGGGTGAAATTGTCATGTCCCCGGCGTGTTTGTCGTCGACAATATTGTTCTTTCTCATTGGCTTTCAATTCTCATGAACGTCCCCGTTGTTCGGGCGCCTGTTCCGTGATTGACTTTCTCGCTTTCGTCATTTTGTGTCTTGTAAAGTGTGATGTTCTGCCCGCATACTCGGATACATCCAAGCTCCAACTATCTCTATGCTTTTCTGCCTCTCTCTCGAACCTTCCCCGTCGTCTACACTCATCTATGCATTTTCACTTTGAAGGTCGTGAGGCATCACAGAGAATAAAATACAACACAAGGGTCTCTTTATACATTTCATGGTCCGTCTGGCCCTCAACGCTGGGTGCTTTTTGATGGCCCGAAAATACAACACACAGGCCTCTTTATACATTTGATGGTCCGTCTGGCCCTCCGCGCTGCGTGCTTTTTGATGGCCCGAAAATACAACACAAGGGCCTCTTTATACATTTGATGGCCCGTCTGGCCCTCCGCGCTGGGTGCTTTTTGATTGCCCGAAAATGCAACACAAGGGCCTCTTTATACATTTGATGGTCCGTCTGGCCCTCCACGTTGGGTGCTTTCTGATGGCCCTTCTGGCACTCCTCGCCGATTGGTGCTAGAAAGTGACACAAACTGAATTAAGCTGACATTCAAAAAGAAATGAATATTGTGTGATTGGTCCTCAATTTTCGAAAAAGGACTTCAAGATTCAACTTCGTCTCTCTCTCTCTCTCTCTCTCTCTCTCTCTCTCTCTCTCTCTCTCTCTCTCTCTCTCTCTCTCTCTCGCACACACACACCCGCAACTGTGTTTAGTGCGCTCATTTGCTGTTTGCTTCGGACTCCCTCTCCCCTGTCATCTCGGATGCATTCGAACTTAGCTAATTCTCGCCTAACGAAAACCTTGCAGCTCTTGTACAGCTACACTTGTGGTTTTCGTGTGTTCCTCGAACATGCGTCTCCTGTACGACATGTCGGCATGAAAAGAAAATTCAGTGCGATTATTCACACTCTCTCTGTCTCTTTCTGTCCCTGTCTCTCTCTCTCTCTCTCTCTCTCTCTCTCTCTCTCTCTCTCTCTCTCTCTCTCTCTCTCTCTCTCTCTCTCTCTCTCTCTCTCTCTCT